TCAGGTTTGGTTGAGTAAAAGTTTATGTTTCTATTCTCTTTTGAAATTATTGTAAGTAATATATTTAAGATAAGTGGGTACAGTTTCCCATATCTTTTCCCATATCTTCTAATCAGAACTCGGTCTATTCTCAAACTTTTCAATATGGCAGATACATGTATGTGGCAGAAAATAGGTACAAAGCAATGATAACGACATCCTTGCAGAAGAAACAGCTTTTTATATCTGAAGGAGGGTAAGAAAAATTTCTTTCTCTTTGAGGGTAGGGGTGAGCACTTTGACTCGTTTGTTCTGGAGAGGGGTAGAGTCAGTAGCTCTCAAGTCTCTGTTGATTTTGAGATGTCAAACTGCTACTTTTACCCATAGAATCGTTTATCCTTTTAAATATAATTACTCATTGTTCCCCTTTGTACTTGCTTTGAACACTTTCCAACAGTGGAAATTCTTGCTCTGAGTAAAGGAATGCATATCATGTCTAAGCCATTTCACACTTCTCTGGGGGGCATGCCCTCCTCTCCCTCTCTCTCTCTCTCTCCCCCTCCCCGGGAAAGTGATGTCCGTAGCGTCTCGGTCGAAGACTGCGCGGAAGGAAATCTCGCTCTATACCAACAAATCTTCACTATGGGAACCATCAAGTTGCGAGAATAACGTACTTGCTAGTTCCTCCTTTCCCTTTTTTTCCAATCCAAGTAGATTATACTTAAATCCTTATTTTCCTATTTCATAACCGTTGCGGTACTTCTGATCTCTTGATTCGATCGAGAGTAGTAATATCGTTCCAAAACTCTAACTCACCTACGGGAACTAGGGGATTCTCTTTCACTTTCCTCTTCAATTTCCCTGTCATAGTTTCGGGTTCACGTGCTGCAGCCCACTCGAAGAATTCATCCATTTGTTTTTGTTGACTGATATTATCTTCAGTGGCCTTCTCCCCTTCTTTCGGTAGAGGCGCCATCTTTAATTTTCAACACCTCCAGGTATTGTGGGAACGAATGCGCCGTCAGTCTCAGCGGCGTCTCTCCAAAACTTTCCCAGGCCCTCTTAACTTTGAAGTCACCCTTCGGAAGTCAACATGGCGGGCCATCGTGTTCTTTCCAGAGTCCTCGCTTCTTTTGGAAAGGTTCTATCCTTACGAACAGTTTCTTCGTCGTTCAGGCCGGAGGGTATGTTTTAACCGTTGTATTTTTTCTCTTTATCGCAATGAAAGGAATGTTTTGAACATTGTAAATTGCATTTGTTACGGTTATTCCAACTAAGTAGCTAAAGACAGTTAACAATTTTAACTGTAACTGAATGATCATTATCCGCGTATGCCTCTTCTAAAATGTGGCAGCCTCAAATATTGTTAATGAGGCTGGAATCCCTTTATAACTCCCTATGACGGGGTTACATTTGTACTTGTATTTTGATTTCGTTTGCCCCTCATACCAATTTTGTCCCATCTGCCTTGAACATAAATTTTACACCATTTTTCTCATTTACTTTACCTTTTGACAACCACTGCCTTAAGCCTTATTCTCCTGTATTTCCTTGTAGATAAGTCCTAAGAAAGAGCATTTCTCGCCTGTTTTAAAAAAAAATGTTAATTCTTGATTCGCTGTCTGTATTTTTGAGACTAAGAAACCAATCTCAAAGAAGCACCCACCCTGTAGGTGGGAAATGTTAATAAGTTCACAGCTTCTTATAACTGCCCACCCCCACCCCCTCCCCCTCTAGTGCACAAGAGTAATACCAATCATCATTTTTTACAAGCTTACAGTCTCAAAATTCACTTCCATCTTCATGTTTTGTTTTTTATTGCAAAATTACCTTTACCATTTTGCTGAAAATGGTAAAAATTAAATAAGCAGCCTTGCATAAGGGCCCACTCTCCAGGTTCGAAAATTTGATAAGTGCAGCACCTAGTCAAATAAACACAATATAAGGGTTAGACAGGATAAAAAAGAAACAATGCCAGGAAAATTTAAATGTATACTAGTTAGGATTATCTGGATTCTTTAAGCCTTTCACTCACAAGATCTTCTTAGTGATTCTCCTTAAAGTCCCTATGACACGTATTTTTTAGCATTGAATTATAAAAATAGCAGTATGTAGAGGGTGTCTGGTAAGATTTGTGGGTGATTCTGATACGTCTTTGTTATTTTACGAGGCGATAAAAATCTGAAATTGTATCAAACTTTGGCTGCCCATATCTCTTTGGCCGCATTAAAGAGGACTGGAACCTGTGACGTAATGGTAGTAGCACCAAGTTTATCAGAGAAGCAAAGTGAAATACCACAAATGTTGCAAAAACATAAAAAGTCATTATATTTTGATGTAGACTAGATAAAAAATAAGTGTGATAGGCACTTTAATGTTTACTGTGCAATTCTTTTAATGCAAGTTTGGAGAATTTAATATTGGATCAACTGATAATCCCACAATTGATATTTTTCTTTATTCTTGTCACTTGTCTGTTTGACATTGTATTGCTACATGTATTCTGAGAAAATCTGTCTTAGTCACTCAAAAAAATGGTTCAGCACTTTGGGCAACAGATTATTGTTTAGCTGTGTTGGTAAATCAACTCTGCACTTGCTGTGTTCTAGTGCAAATTTATGAACTGTAAAATTGTAATTTTTTCAGCTTTCAAGCAATTGGCCAAGATAGATAATTTACCAAGTTTTGCCAAGATGCAAACAGGAACATTTTCTACATGCAACATCCAAGCTAACGCGTGGAAAACTGGTTTACAAGGGGCAAAGTATTGGCAAAAATATCTCTTGTCTTCACAAAGAATTTTTGCATTTAACTCTGCTGGAAATTTTGCAAAGGAATCTCTGGTGGTCAACATTTGTGGTAATTTAGTTATTCCAAAAAGATGCGTCAACAGCCGCAACAAGCACGGCAAACCAAAAACTTGTAAAGCTGTTGCAAACAGATTTTTTAGGACAGCAGATGGAAATTTGAAATTTTGGAGACCAGGCAAGAATCATAAGATGATGAAGAAAGGACCCAAGAGAAGTCGTCAACTGAGAAAGCCAGTTTTGTGCAACAAGAGACAACTCAAATTGTTGAACAAAATGTTAGGCCGGGGAGGACGCTAAAGTTTTTTTCTGTCCAGTCTAAAAAAAAATCACTTTAGATGGACTGAAATTATGTTTTTCCAGATGGAGATGGTCATCAAGAAAAACTGTTATCTGACTCTGATGATGACCTCTACTTGTTGTCACTATTACTCACAACTGCTCCCTCCCTTCTCTTCCAGGGCCTCCCCTCTCAAGACAATTACATTGTACAAACAACTGAAGAATATGAACAGATGTGTCAAAAAAAAGAAAGAGTTGTTCTGAATTGATCTTTATTTACTATATAAGTTTACAATAATTATGGATAAGAAAAATATTGCACTCTAAAATTTCCTCTGTGTGGAAAGGCAAGATCAATTGTTAGCCTCTCTCTTTACTCCTCCCCTTCCCCCATTAAGTTTGACCCAGATTTTAACATTGTATTCTTCATTTCATTATAATTACCTTTATTTTACATTAACATTATTATAATTATGATTTTATCTAAATTTTACCATTTTTTACGAGAAACATTACCGGTAAAATTATTAAAAAAAAAATCTGATTCTTGGCAACATAATGCACTGAACAATAATTCTCAGTCTAAAGTATTTGAGTCATACAGTGTAACATGGGATGTTTGCAAGTTTCAGTTTTGGTTTTTGTAAGTTGTCCGTCCCTGCAAACATAAACATAACTTCAAATCCACTTCCCCTCCACCCAAAGTAATGAAAAATAAAATATTTTGTTTGCCCCTCGTTCATGTTCTGTTGCTTGTGAAGAAAGTCACCAAAATTAGTTTACATCAGAAATTCCAGTCGCACTGAACCATAAAAGTTTTTTTCAACAAAAAAAGAAGAAACAACCAAGATAAAGTATAAACCAGGACCTGAAAATGTTGTAAAATTTTTAAACTAGAGGTTGTGAAATGCTGAGTGTAGTGCCTGTATATTTTAAGAAGCAGATTGAGTTCAAACAACCCTTAATTTAAGTGTAACATTTGATGTTTGTGGATTATGTCATTAATTATTAACTCAGCTGTATTTTTTCGCACAGCATTCGAGCTGCCACGAAAATAGAGGGCCAGGTTAGAGACCAGTCATTGTTTATCACCGGGTCGGAGCATTTTTGTGTTTTTACAATAGAATATACCCGATCCCCATATTAGCCTCTGTGGTATTTAAATGATTCCCCCTTATTTGCAGTCTCAAGTCTCTGTTGATTTTGAGATG